AGTGTGCTTCTGCAAAAGAAGTTAACGCCCATAGAGATAATTAAACATGACAAACAGAAAGGTTACACAGGGAGGCAATTTCAAATTCAAATTTCAAATTTTGTTAAAGAACAATTTAAAACTCGGAAATATTAACTGGGCATCATTATCTTAACTCAGACTCTTAGGTCATAATATTATTAATTTAATTCATCTTAACTTTGTTTTTAGTTTCCTCGTCGTCGTCAGTTTGTAAAGTCTACAGAACATATTTTATGGATTTTAGACTTTAAATAAATATATTATTTAAAATATATTATTATTAGCTTTTCAAAGGGGTTTTCTCTAAAGAGTGTTTTAGCTTCAACACCCGTCTACTATTATCTATGAATACATACTTAGGGATGTTATATGACCGTGGCGATATGCTGATCACTGAAGCCTGTCCATTTAGCCAAGCTTCAGTGAAGATCGAGGGCAACCTCGAGCCGCTACCCAAAAATATCTCGTTTCACTCGACATTTCTTCGTAGCGTCTCTCGGAAAATTAGGATTTTACCTCGATGTAGATTAGAATTTCACGACTACATCTTGGTTAAATCAGTCGAGGTCTCATAAATACTGAAAGCCAAAAGACAATGTGATCATGTGACATTCTTGGCATCAAGAGAATAGTGACGTTGCTTGCGTTAAATACCTACCAGTAGACACATTTAAAATCTCTCACACTTTAAAAAAAATAGCATAAACTTTTCACGTTTAACACTTATTATCTATCATTTTCAATAAGTCATATCATATGGGTATGGTTTGAAAACGGGAATTAGTATACATTTAAGCCACACGTGCATACAGATTATTTGTAAATCTATAACTTTTTACCGAGGGTTGTGTTATTTACCTTTTGTTTTTAAGCTGTTCATTCTTCCTCTTTATCAGATATATCGGTAAAAATCAAATGTATTTCCCCTTTGAACTTGTAATTACATGTAGCACATGAATGCTCTGAAAACCAGCACATGTATATTCCGAAACCGCCTCGTAGTAAAAAAGGTCACCAAAACGTAGAATTATTACTCCTGTGGACTTGAAATAAACATCCGTTTGATTTTGACTATGTTCTGTAACCGCCTCGTCGTCAGAAATAACAATAAAAAAACTAGAATTATTACTCCCGTGAACTTGTAATAAACATCCGTCGGTTTTGACTATATTCCGAAACTGCCTCGTTGTCAGAAATATCACCGAAAAGTAAATTTCTTTCTCCTTTGCACTTGTGAAAAATTAGTTTGACTATATTCCGGTCCAATGCCCCTTTTTTATCAGAAATGTCACTAAAAAGTAGAGGTTTTGCCGTAGGACCTTTTTTCCGCAGCAGTCCCAGCTAGGTGTGGCTCAGCTGAGACGCGCATGGTCAGTGTCGACGGTTGAACGTCCACAACAAGTATTTAGCTAAAATTGACTTAATTGGTCAGACATTACGTAAGAATTTGGCGGGAGGTGACCAGCGCGCGTGGACGAGTTTATTCCGTATAACATCTCTAGAGCGTGATATAGGGGCACTTTATTCGGTTTTAGGGGTGTTTTATGATGAAATGACTGTATTTTTTCTCGGTGTGTATGTCAAATAATACACTGTAACCCTCTCGCGATATATGCCATGAACACCTCTCGCTACCGCTCGAGGTGTTATGGCATATATCGCTCGGGTGACAATGTATTATCTCACACATATTTTCATCTTAATCTACGGCAATATTTTATTTGAGTTATACAAGTAATATTCGACATTTAACATGTTACTCTACAGTGGAACTCGTAATTAGACTTTCATTGTATTCTGGTTTAATAACGTTTGAAATGATTAATCCCTATTTTGTGAATAGAAGGGGATGACGATGAAGTAGAATACATTGTAGCCTCTATGTGATATCGCAATGCTCAATACGCGATGCTTTCGAGTCAGGGGCCTTGGTGTTACTCCCAGCATGGGTCGTTTAAATTATCACACTGTATTTTCTTTTTGCTCATTATATTTTACTCCTCTTCTGAATACTCTCTCTCCCTCTCTTTCTTGTAACATTAAAAAGGAGGGAAATAAATAAAATACTCAACTTCAAAAAAAATAACTGAGGTCGGCATCACTCATCTTTAGCAGGGGAATGAGATAAACTGAACCAGATCGATTACGTTCACTGGGGCGCTAGATTTGGTCTTAAAGTGCAATTAAAAATCACAGATGATCTTACACGATCTTATACAGCGGTAGTCTTAAAATGGACTGAATCTGATTTTAAGGAAAAAAATGTTTTAACATCTCCTTTACTGCGGTACAGTGGTTTTATACGCAATAGTCACATTATAAGTAGACCAGGCATTATAACTTTTATTACTCTGATTCAGGGGGTTACATTTCTATTGTCCAGTGTGTGTATTTTTTTTTTCTTACAGAATAATCATAAAGGTAAACGAAAACCAGGCTTCTAACTATTATCGCATGCACGCTGAGAAAATGTGACAAGTTCATAAAAAATTTCATGGAAAATTAATGTATAATAAAACAGTGACGCTAGCAAATATGCACCCAGGTAGGAATGGGGCTAATGTTTATTTATTTATTTATTTTTTTTTTCAGTTTTGATGCAGTTTTTTTGTGTTGATTAAAATTAGGAAATATTTTACTCACCCTGTCCTTGGCCGTACTCGGGAAACCGTGTAATGAACAATAACAAAAGGAAAACTGTGTTCACCCGTCACATTTCGCCCCAGTCAGGTAATTTCAACCTAAGACGATTGAGCTCGGCAATATTTTGGAAGTTGCCTAGCAAGGCAACGACTTTAAAAAGGGGAGCACCTTTTATTGCAATACGCATGAAAATATTTGGGTTATCAACTTTTTTAGGCCCAAAGGCATTTGTACGCAAATATTTCTGTGCCTGTTGTTTTTCATATAACTTGCGAAGGCGTCTTTTGTACTGTGTAGCTCAATTTCACCTAATGGTTTTTATTCCTGTCCCGTTAAATCGTTTTATGTGTGCGTTTGTTTAGACCGACATATCACTTGGCAGTATGAAAAGTTTGCAGCAATGTTGCAGTAGATGTGTTCAAATTCGCTGTAAATTTGCAGCAGGACTGATATTTTCCTAAGGGGTTACATCTAACTCATAAACTTAAGCTCTTTTGTGTCTCCCCCTGTAGTGTGGACTCATTACAGATTAGAAAAAAAGATATGTTGTTTCAATTCCTTTGAGAATTTTCAATAACTTTGTTGCATTACCCATGAAAAACGATATATTAATGTAAAGCCCTGGATAACATAAATACCTTTATGATAAAATGTTTTAGTGTGTGCATTATGCCAGATCACTTGCAAAGACCTTTTCTCTTCACTGTAAAACAGCGATTTACACCCAAACGCGTGTAGAAATATGTATAAAAGCAAAATACATTTAGTTTTGCAAGCTTCCCACAATAGAAAAAGCTAAACTAGTGAAGTAGTTACTAATTAAGCTATATCTTTAGTTTCGCCGAATTACAATCTTATAACTAATTTATGACAAGGTCCAACCACTTGCTAAACAAGTCCCCTGCTAAACGTGAGAAGCTGCTAAATAACACGTTTAACTTTTCAAGCTTCTCACGGAAGAAAATGCTTAACATGTTTTGCAGTGTTGCACGTTAAGCCATCTGATTAGCTTCACCGGTATATGACCCCATATAGTAAGTTTATTACAAGGCTCAACAATTTGGCTAAAACACGCCCCCTTCTATACGTGTGGAGCTTTTGAAGGCGTAGAGCAGCCTACTCGAACACTTTGTGTCTTTCCTTGCAGTAACTTGTGGCTTTTTTAAATAGGCCTATTATGTAAAAATCCAGATGACAGATAATGTTTCCAAGGCTTTCTCAGAAGCGTACATAACTGTTATGGTACAGAATGACATTATGATAACGTAATATGGTAAAGCTATGCGTGTTTATTTATACCCCCGTCACACTAGAGGCGGAATGAGCAAGAATGCCGTCGAAAAGACAATTCTTTTGGCGTTCCTGGATATTCGAAGAACATTTTAAACATTACGAGTGCATTCCAAATATCTTTACCCATTCTTGTGGCTGGCACGAATGTTTTGCTCATGTTAAAAAATTTCGAAATTCATTCCAAGTGGAAAATTATCGAATGGCATTTGAAAAGTATTCTAACTGCACATGGCTGCATTCTAAATATTCTCACGGCATTCCAACTGCATTCGAAACATTCTGATCAAATTCGAGGGAGAACCAAAGTGGCAAGACACTTCAAACCCTGCTAGAATGAGCCAGAATGCAACTTCAGTGCATCTCAGTCCTATTTCAGCCAGCAATCGAACTACACTCGCACGGCATTCGAAGTGTATTCTAAATATTATGACTAAATTCTGACAGCATTATTGATATTCTTAGTTTTCCAACTACATTCGAGCAGCATTAGAAAGCTCATACAGTCGAAATGTGCACGAATCATTCCAGGCGAATTCAAGGGCATTCTGAGCATTCCAACCGCATTCTTAGGTCAATTTGAAATTTCTTCCCGAATGTAGTACGATTTTTTTATTTAGTCATTCCGGCTGGTTCTGCTTGATTCCTGCTGATTCCGAATAAGTGTGAAGGGGGATATAACTCCTTGCAAAATATTGTCCGAGCTAACAAAAACATTGTGGTAACCTTATAATTGTAGAAAGATTCGACGAAGTTTTCTACATAACTTTATGATAATGTCATGCGCATCTTGTGGAGTTTTATGAGCGTTTTATAAGATACTGTTAAAACATTATGTACTGTTTTGAAAACCTTTTTCTTTTTATAAATGACCAAAACACTTCTTACGATGTTTGAACTACCGGTACATCTAGCGGTTAGTTCCAAATTCCAAATTCCACATTGGGTTAGTCTGCGATTAGAGCGGTGCGAATTGTAGAATCTTCGGACTATCGTTACCGAAATAACCAGCATGTGATAAAAGCTTAAATAAACATTGTACTGAATACCCTTCCATCATCCTGACGTTCTATTGGGTGTGGCAGCAATGGCGGCAAAAAGGGGCAGCAGGCCCAGTAGGTCACGTGATCCCCATAGCCTCAGTGATTTTTCTCTGTTTTTAAAAATAAAGGAAAGCGGAAAGTTGCATCACAGAGCTTCTTATTTTGAGTAGCAAGCTGTTCCTCTCTACTGTTAGATATTGTACAACAGGCAAGAACTTTCATAATCATCGACCTTCACCCACCCACCCCATATAGCAGCATTCTAAATCCAGTCGTTAGCAGGGGTCAATTTCATAATGGTTTAGATTGTTTTGCGGGCTAGGAATCCTGTCATACCAAGAGCTAGCAAATACCAGTATGATGAAGTTCCCAATATCTTAAGGCATATCCCCTCGTTTTTAATATATCTTAACTACGCACCTTGAGCTAATTGTCTTCGTCCTTACATTGTCAGTTCATTTGGGTATGTCAAACTGGTACTTTTATTGTGGGGCAGTCGTTTTTAAAAGTTCTAAACTAAACATACAAAACCAACTTAACATGTTCAGCTTCTATCAGGCTTTAAGCTAACCCCGATAGCTATAGAGTCTTTTAGAAATAAGTCCAGGTAATAATACCGGTAAAAGTACCAGAAGGGCATATATAATGCCTTATGATCACACAAAGGAGGCGCCACTTACAGACATTTATTCACAATTCACCAACTAACGGATAAGGTTAAGTATAGGAAAAAATAACCTTTGTAAGAAAACGGCAGTATCTGAAGCTGAGGCAGCAAGGGGATGTGCAGTTGCTAGGAAAAGAAAGAACATGATCATATTGATTGCGGTTAAACAATAAAGCAAACTGGTTATTCTTATGTTGAGATAAATGACTATTTCCAAAACAATTTTTTTTTCTATTTAATCATCTTTAATTTGGTTCAAGCAGTTTTATACAAGGCTATGGCCCGAAATATGGTTTGACACACATGATGCACAACTGTAAGTAATCCTCACGATAAAACTCAATACATATGTAATTAACAAAAAAGTACAATTATGAAAAGGCATACTTTTCTTTTGCGTTCCTATAGATTTGGCACAAATCACACTAATACATATTTCAGAAAGATATTATCATCACATAAATACATATATAAACAAAACAGTAACAAAGTCTCATTTTCACATTTTCATGCTATTCTAAATTAGGCACACATCACATTGAAAATTATGTAAAAATAAAGGTTTAACAAAACCGTAATGAGCACTTTAAAAATACCGTGTAAAAGTTGAAAGCTAAAAGTCTTCACTTAAAACCGTTAGGAAATTAGAGGTTTGCTGTCACAACAGTCACATTATGGAGTAAGGCGGACGCTGTGTGACTTTAATTCCAAGCAAAGATAAAGAACAAAAGCGGGTAGAGAACGTTAAACCAAACACTCTGGGAACTGGATCCTCTGTTGTTGGTGCTTGTTTGGGACGTATCCAGTGTACCACTGTTGCAGTAGTTACTAGTGCAGCACTGCCTGCAGACTTTACTGGTCCCAGTTCCCGTACAAGTATTACCCTGCAGCTCCTGACTGGTACACAGCGATTGACTTCTGCACCCGCGGCTGTAGCTGTAGGCAATGGTGGAGGAACTATAGAAGAGATTATAACTTTCGTACGCCGAGGCTGTCGTCTGCAAAGAGAAAAAAACGGGCGTCCATATAATAGTGACAGTGATAACCATGTAAAAATAAATGATAATTAGATTAACCGACGCCTTACTTTTAAGAATTTAAAAATTGGTAATAATATTCCCCTGTTAAGTACCAAAAATGCGTGTGTGTGTGTGTGTGTGTGTGTGTGTGTGTGTGCGCGCGTGTCCATGAGCATGCAATAGGAAGAGACACTCACGTGACACACGTATCCATAAGAACACGTGATATAAGTGTTGTAATAGTAATAACTATTTTGTGAACTGCTACACGAGGAGGTGCCTAAGCAGGAATAACATCTAGGTCCGCTCTGAAATGAAACATACATTCATACATTCGAGTGTCCGCTTAAAGTAAAAAGAACTAAATTAGAATTAAAATCCATCAATAACCCAAGCCATAAACAGTGGTTTTACCAGCTAAAACAGCTATTTGCTTAACAAAAATCAAGGCTTCTCTTGTTTGTAGATAGAATATGATTCTGTTTTCTGTCTAACAGTGTAAACGTTGTTGAAATTTACGTTAGGCTTCCAAACAGCAAATAACAATTATGCTGAGTAAAAAAGACGGAAACTATTAAAGCAGTCAATACTACTTACGGCAACGGTGGTGGTCGGTGTGGTGGTTGTTGTACTTGGGGGAGTAACACCCGCTGGTAGAAAAAATGATTATATATATTCAATAATTTGTTTTTGATAAACAGTTTACATATATTACTTCTTACCAGGTATTTTAATAAGTCTACAATGCCTCTTCCGAGGTATTCACTTCCGTCCAATAGAACTATGAAGCTGGACCATGCTGTTACCCACCCCCCCACCCTTAACGCTGGATGGCGACCTTTCTGCATCCTTTGTGCAACAATGAAACTAGCATCTCTGTGGTCGTAGAATGAATGCTCAATTATCGGTCAGTTGTGGGCAAGTAAAGAATTATTTTTTTTTCACTCTCAAACGGGGCCTCAGTAGGCCCGCAGAAAGGTCGCCGTCCAATGTTAATAGGGGCTATACGTTATGCAAATTGAAACAGTATTCTAAGCCAACATCTGGTGGTGCACTCCAACCAACTTCTATTAAACGCCCGTACTTTTTGCGAATAAAAGAAGCCTCGTACTTTTAAGATGCAAAATAAATATGGACACCTATGCAAGCCAATACCAGTTTTTCGGAGAGACACTTAACTATCTCCTTGATACCTATCTTCCAATGAGGGTCATCAGCAGATACGCAACAGACAAAACCTGGGTAACATCTGATTTCAAGGACCTCATCAAACGGCGTCAGAGAGCCCTCAGCGAAGGAAAGACTAGCCTTTCACATGCACTCAGGAACCAAACCAATAGGCCAAATAAACAACTAAAGTCAAAGTACTACAAAAATAAAATAGAATCATTGAAACAATCCAACTCTTCCCTATGGTGGAAAAAACTCAAAGGATAATAAGGGATGCAAAATAATGTCACTTTACTCCAACCGCTGGCAGATAGCACATCTTCAGGTAATCTTCAAGTTCTGGCAAACAATATCAACACCTTTTTTCATAGTGTCAGCCAAGACCTGTCACTATTACAACCTGATGGAAATACCCAGCCCAGAGTTGTATAGTACATGTACCTTACAAATTTGTTATCTGCGCAGCGGATGTAGAAAAATTACTATCCATGGTAAAGCTGTCTAAAGCTATAGGCCCAGACCAAATCCCAAATTGAGTTCTCAGAGACTTTGCAGGCTACTTATCAAAACCACTTTGTGCAATTTTCAATTGCTCAGTAAGGGATGGTCGCGTACCAAAATTTTGGAAATCTGCAGAGATAATACCCGTTCCAAAAGTGAATAAGCCAAAGGTAATAGCGTCAGATTTTAGACCTATATCACTAACGCCAGTTCTAAGTAAAACTTTGGAGTCTTTTGTTACAAAGTGGGTTACAGATAGTCTGCAAATTGATGGAACACAGTTTGATGGCATCCAAAATAGTTCAACTACCCATGCCTTAGTAGAATTGACTCATAAATTACTAGGAGGTCTTGAACCATCCCCCACAAAAAATCTTATGCTCAGGTGTTATTCTTAGATTTTGCTAAAGCCTTCGACAGGATTGATCACAATATCTTAATGAAAAAATTAGAAATCCAAGGGGTACCAGATATTGTAAGAATTTGGATCTATTCCTTCCTTTGCGAACGGTGGCAACGAGTAAAAATGCAGTAGCTTTAAATCTGATTGGTTTCAGTTAGTGGGAGGCGTGCCTCAGGGCACTAAATTAGGTCACATTCTTTTCCTTGCAATGACCAATGACATGAAAACTTGTTGTTCAGACATTAAATTTGTTAAAAATACTCCCATTTACGAAATTTGCAAATTTGGCAAAACACCGCATCTACCACAAACAATAGATCAATTGGCTGACTGGGTCAAGCAAAACAAGATGAAACTTAATGTAAGGAAGACTAAGTCGGTGGACATAAATTTTGCCAAGGACTGTAATCTTACAATACCAACATTGGAAATAGATGGTGAACGTGTAGAAAAGGTCAAAAAAGTTTAAGATACTTGGTGTTATTTTACTTGGGCTGAACACATCCAAATTATGTATGCTAAGGCATATTTAAAGCTCTTTTATCTCAGACAGCTAAAGAGGGCAAAGCTGGACATACAAGATTTATTAACTATTTACCAGTCTGTAATGAGATCAGTTTTAGAATATACGTGTCCAGTGTGGGGACCAGGTCTGACTGCTGAGTAATCTGAAAGTCTAGAGTCAGTTCAAAAGAGAGTCTTAAGGATTATTTGCCCTGGTCTCAGTTATGTCGATGTCTTTAAAGTTTGTAACATCGACACCCTAGACAAACGTAGACATTTGCTGCATCAGATGTTTTACACATAATTACAAAATTGTGAAAAGTTGGGCCATTTATTGCCTGAAAGAAACCCTCGCCCTTTACGAAACAACACCAAATTCTAACAACCAAAAGTGAAGACGGAACATTTTAGAAATTCCTTTATCAATTATTGTATCTTTAACTTTTAGTAATTTATGAAAGCCTTTTTAATTTGTAGTATTTTAGGAACAATTTATTGTTTTATATTATATTCATTATATTATATTATTGTCAATTTTCTTTTAAACATTCTTTATGCAATTTAACCTAATACATTATTACTATAATTATTTGATCAGTAATAATGAGATAAACACACACACACACACACACACACACACACACACACACACAAAAAAAAAAAAAAAAAAAAAAAAAAAAAAAAAGATAAACAGTACAGATAAACAGCCCTACAGCCAAAAAAAAACAGGCCGAGTCAGATTAACTCGGACCTTCTGCCTGGCAGCCAGTAAGACATACGTACGTAAGTATCCCTGGCAGTAGACGCCAGCGTCATCGTAACTGCTTGAGCCACAGTAATAGGTGCTGTATACCCCTACCCCGCTGTGTGAGCAGTCTGTAAGGTTGGTCTCTGTTCCATAGCAGCTAACATAGGACAGCCAAAAAGATCCACTTCCCCTGGGGCTCCAACCTGAATAGCCAAACATTTTGACACAATAAAAAGACAGCCGCTATAAAAAAAAAAAAAATATATATATATATATATATATATATATATATATATATATATATATATATATATATATATATTAATGGTCATAAGTTAAGCAACACTTACTTATTGCTTAATTTTCTCAGCAATTGAGTTTTTGTTGTTTTTTTAATGTGTATTGTAACTAGTCATGTCTGTTTTTCTTACTTTGAACTACGCACTACTGTACCATGCGTGAATTACAGTTTGGCCATGGTATGCGGAGCGTCCAGTTTTGCTCGTTCTATGGGTGCATTTTGTAATATTGCAAAAACAAATGGTTAGAAGAAGACTCAACGAGGAAATCAGATGGCAAATTATAAGAAGCCAATGTGCTTGACTGCCTATGAGACAAATTGCAAAGCAACACAGAGTGGCCAGTCAAGTGTCCAGGCTGGTGTTAAAATAGCGCCAAACTTATCATGTTAGGGACACGCAACGTTCTGGTAGACTGGGATCAAACGGTGAAAGAGATAGAAGACATCTGGTCAGACTATGCGACCAGAACCGGTTCATGTTGGGATCATGCCGATACTCCCCCGCACCGTTACTCCCCCGTGCCGATACTCCCCCTTAGTAAATTATTGCATTATGCACATCGATACGACCCCACACCGACAGATCCCCGCATCGATAAACCCTTTGTAAAATTGCCGTTATATGCACACCGTTACTCCCCCGCACCGATACTCCCCCGGGTTGTTGTTTCCCCGCACCGTTACTCCCCCGCACCGATACTCCCCCCAATCATTACTCACCCTATGCAATTTCCGCGAAACTGAGGATCGAGTAACAGAGTCAACCCTCCATTTAATTATACAGGTAAGGGTCAGTCTACGTAAGTGGATCAAAACCTACCACCCGTTAAAGTCCAAATTTTGCGGATAATCTCATGTATAACGCTAGTCCTCCGTCGCACGTATGTAAGCACGTACGGAGGATATTGAACAATTCTAATAGATTCTACTCTGCGAACAGCGAGGCCGTAAGTGTAACTTGCTCCCTTCCTAAGGAGTTTGCGAGGGGTTTTCAAGTGAGACTTGCCTGGTCCAATATGCACGCCGCAAGAAGTGAAGGAGAAAGTGCCCTTTGCGTGTTGAGTACGGCGCACGCCCTCACATCTATAACGAACAAAGTCGAAAACACGACGGGACTGCGAATATAAAAGGCGTGCTCACGACGCTTGCTCGTGTCTCGACAATTTCGTTGTGCAACAATTTTCAAAAATTTTGAATTTTGCTCAATTCAGATTCTTATCTAATTCAGATTCAAAAGACAAGGGAAAGAAGCTTAAAGAGCAGAAAAGAAGGTTGGAGGAAAAAGACAGAAACGAAGCGCTTTAGCACTTCTTTTTTATTACTTAATAATTTAACGAATTCATCGTTGCCTAAAAAAAGACATAGCTGCGTTATCTTAGATTAAAACTAACTTTGCCTTAAGTTAATAAAAAAATGAATAAACAAATAAATAAAAGGCCGTACAATATATATACGGTACCTACTGAGTACAGTAGGAGAATGAAATTAATTTTGCAAAAACATTTCTTAAAAATCACAAGGAAGAGCTGTAGGCCTACGTACTGTCAAGCTGCACACAAAGTCAGAGATCGACTTCGTGTAACGTTCTTTATTTTCCCAAATATATTTCGAATAGTGTTTTTGCGGTACGCGGGAGTATCAGTGCGGGGGAGTATCGGTGCGGGGATGTAAAGAAGCGGGGGAGTATCGGTGCGGGGACGTATAGGTACGTAACCATCATGGTGACCAAACAACTGAGAAACATCTGGCCTGGATTAAGTAGACAAACAGTCAACAGCGACCTTTAGAAGCTGGACATCCATCGAGAAGACTCCGTTAAAAGTCACCATTGACCATTGAGATTGAGATACAAGCAGAAGATTGGCATGTCCCCCCCC